TTTTTGTAGAGACTCTCATATCAATCATATTAACCATATGGAATTATCCACTAAGTTTTCAATATGCATCCCCTATAAGTCTCAAATGGTCCAGTACTCATGAAGAGAACATGCAATTCTTCACTCTCATCATAATACTATAGAATCCCATGTCAAAGAGAGGGATTAGGACAAAGCTTCTTTATGCCATGAATAAAAAAGTGAAACCTTTAAGCTTCACGACGTCAGAAGCTACAGCAGAGAAGTTTGATGTTCTTTCTTGGGCTTACTTTGTGAAGTGATAAAATGATGTACGCCAAACGGAGTGGTCTTTACAACAGGACTTTTTTTCTGCTAAAACTTCGCGCTTGCCTATCTCATTATACTTAGAAAGTTGAAGAAATAAATCTTCAACTTTCTAAATATAATGAGATATTTGATGAATTCCTCCAGGTGCCAAAGTCATAATGCAAAGGTTTAGAAGTTGGTGAGCACATTGTTGGAGTCGTAGGTGGTAACAACTTAGCTCGGATAAAACCGAATCGGTAATCATACTTGGCCAGACATTCGGCTTATAGATCTCCTCGTTCACTGAAGCGAAGAGATTTTCTCATATGTTATAAGAATTTAGAGTTTTTAAGGCAAGATCTCGGACTTTGCTTCTCCGCTATGTTTGATTTTCTGTAACAGCAACCGAAAATTGTTTTAAAACTACTGCTTCAAAAATTTAATGAATCCCGATAATAGAAGAAAAGCCTTAAAATAAAACTTTATTTCACAACAGTTTTATACGCAAATAATAGCAAATAAACGAACATTTAGCAAAACAATTGCGTGCAAGCAGCAAGCACATCTGCAAATTTGAGATTAAGCGAATATGGTACATAACTAGACTCAGTTTGAACTGGTCGGCCTATATGCAATACAAACATCTAAAGCACTAGGCTAGCATTAGCACAAACCTTAATTCTACACGTATGGCACAATGATGACTACCTGCAAAAATACAAGAAATCTAATAATAAGTTTCTCTTTCGGCCCATCCTCCTGGCCAACGTCGTATAGCAAAACGACGTGCTTCGTCGTAGACGAAAATTAATACTGAAAATGGCAGTGCGCAGAACCACCACGAGAATCTGGAAAAAATTTTGGTGAACTTTCTAGAATTCTTCACATAAAGCGCTAGACGAAGTAGGCGCAAATAAATCCCAACCTCAATCCATACATACGTAGTCCATTATCGAGTCCTGGGCAATAGCACATGAACCATGCAAGAGCTGTTTCAAATACTAGACCAAAGTTCAAGGTCCAGTTTGTCATCCCCTAAAGAGGTTAGCATTCAGGCGGCAAACAATTCATTTTATTCCTTAAAAATTATAGCTTTAGAAAATGACGTATCTGCTGGACAATGGAGTTACGGCGAGTCTTGGAGATAATCAAATCAGCCCACTGTACAATTACGATGGAGACAAAATAAGCCGTCTGGCAGGTGTACTCAAGAATTTTGCGATTTGCATAGGTCTAAATGGGCAAAAGTAAATCCCTTAAGTTACCTTAATTGTAGATCAAACTATCATCAAATTCATATTGTAAATGTAAACACGTCGCATCTAGTTGCGACGCGGTTCATTATAGAGCGATTTTCTTTTTGTGACCATTGTCATGACACGTCTCGATGCTAATATTAGCTTTAGAGACATGCGATTTGGGTACAGTTGCATATGTA